GTGGTCGTGGGAACTGAACTAGGCTAAGAAATACATGAGATTTATACTCTTTGAATTCAATCAAACTTCAAATTCTAACAATTTTGAAATGCTGGATTTATGATTTCTGTGAGCTAAAAAAGTTTGCATTATTGCCATTTACATGCAGTGAGTACAGAACATGTGAAAGCTGATCTGTTTAAATTAAACTACAAAAAATAAACTTTTCCTGATATTCAGATTCTTTTATATGCACTAGTCTGACATTGGTGTGTCTGTATCACTGGTTTAAATGAAAAGTCATATTTTTGAATGCATGTCTTATCTACAAATATATATCAAGTATATCACTCACTGATGACCCTTCTTTGTGTGTTTGTGTGTTTGCGTGACTGTCAGATAGAGCAGCTGAAGCAGGAGCTGAACAGGAAGGAGTCTGAGATGCAGGCGCTGCAGACCAAACTGGAAACACTGACCAATCAGAACTCGGACTGCAAGCAGCACATCGAAGTGCTAAAAGAGTCGCTCAGTGCCAAGGAGCAGCGCGCCAACACACTCCAGACCGAGGTCAGTGTGTGCACATTCACACATGGAGAAAACACAATCCAGAGACATACAAACACACACCAGTAAAGCCACAAACATGCAAACACTGACATTGCACTAAACCGCTTTCCAGCTTCTTGGAAAATAATTTCAAAGACACATCACGAGATGGACACTCTGTAGATCCCTGCAGTAATAAAGACGGGAAGAAACACCATTGTGACCACTCTGCATCTATTGGTGCATGCAATAGTAGCTTTGCATGGTCTGTGTTAGGATAGAAACTGTATGTGTGCAACAAATCCTGCTTTTTCTGTTTTGTGTTTCTTTCTCCTTCTGTTTCTCTAACGGCCGCTGAGGTGGGTGGAAAAATGTCCATGTGTGTGGTTCCTTTAGTCCACCAGTGGGTTTGTGCGTGTGGGCGGGTCAGTTAGAGGGCTGAAGAAAGCTGGCAGCTCTTTCTGTGTCATGTTTGAAGTTCTAAACTCTGAGGCTCTAATGATTTTATCAC